TCAAGACAAACATTTGCTGTTTACAGAAGATCCATGGGTACTTATTAAGAAAGGACTCTACATCCAGGCAGTGTTCAGATATATATTTTCCTCACATAACGACTTCATTTTGCCCACGGTGCCACTGTACACAAACAACTATTCTGCTTTCAGGAAAAAGCAGAGACTTCCTATGCAATCTGAGCCTTCCCATGCTATCTGGGCACCGAAACAAGTTATAATGGCAACATTTCTTGATTCTCAAATGCATGAGAAATCCTAAAACCATTACATTAATTGCAGGAATTAAAGACCATCCAATTACGCCAAATACCATCTTTCTCTGGAAAAATTACAGTGTAAACTTTTGACTGGAAGATTTTTCAACCAAATACTATAGGTCTTAGCTTTAATCTCCTCAAAAGATGATCCTCATTACTGATACAAAACACATGCCACAGATTTTTACAACTGTGTGATCAATCAAGCTAACTGCCTTTTAGAACTATGGCCCAAACAAGAATCTAAATATTATTTTATCCATAAAATTTCTGTTGTGCTATGAAATTACCGGGAACACATGAGGCAGACATACAACAATGAATCAAAGTAGGAAAAAATAATGTAATTTGTTGTGGCTTGTTCATTTGTGAACGGCAATAAGAACAGCTGAATATCCCCAAAGTAATACTCATGTACTTATCCAGCTCATGTTTATGAAGCACTTTAAAGACGAAAAAATCCTCGAAGTGCACACAGCACTTGCTATAATGAAAGAAAATACAGAGACACAGATACGAAGTAACACATTGCTGATTTCTTCTATCATGACAGAATACAAATCATTACTGATTTATCATCAAAATGTCTCTATTTTTCTGTTCAAACACAATAACTAGGATTGAAAGCTTTCAAAACTATCAATATAGAGATAATTACTGAAGAATGAAATACTGATGATGCTAAACATGCAATTTATACAGTACTGCTAGATGGGAATACAGAAATATTTTCTTCTGTGTGGTTACAGAACAGTATCTTAAGTATCATCTGTTACAGAGTGCAGGAATGTGTAATAGCAACATACCCAAATAGTTTGAAAAATGAGCATACTGTTTTTAAGAACAGCTGCCTGAACATGTCCTAAGAATCCACCTACAATGTCGTACACATGCCATGGTGTGACAGACACCGGCTTGACCTGGGCCCCACTCAATGGCAACACTTTGAAAAACTTTGCATTGCGCAGGACTGGACACAAGAATGGTGCAGAAGCAGCATAATGAAGAAGAGCAACGATGGTATATATCTGAGTGAAATAAAAGTGTTTCTGTTTACAGACCATGCTACCACACCATCAGATACTACATTTTGGCTCGAACAGAAATGAACGTAATTCAAATGGCAGAGATTTTTTATAAAATCTTCATGGACAACTCTGTACCAGGCTTCTGCCAGAAATGGGTCACTTATGTTCTCATACAAGCCAGAACTTAAAAAACAAAAATAAAAAAAAGGTACATAAACACACAAGAAAAGTTCTCATCCTTCTCTCCAAATGATTTATTGCTGTCAGAGCTCTAATCTAATTTTAGGTGAGCTCATCCTTTTTTTCTGCCCTGGAGCCATATTAACTTAATACCGCTCTCCTTCCAGAGCCACGAGAGAGTACAGACTCCCTTAGCCACCACAGATGCTGTGCTGACATTTTACTTTAGCTGTTCGCTGTAAAAGTCATCGATATCGCTCCACTCCTGAAGAGACCTTTTCTAAGAAAAATGAAAACAAATTGCTGGCATTAGATCAAACTTTGACCTCTGCAGCCCAAAGTGGGGAAAGCAAGATCTGAACTCCCTGCTGCTGCTTTGAAAGCTTCCAAAAGCTCCTTCAAGCAGGCAAACTTTTTTATTTTCATAAAACATTTTCTGAGCTGCCAGGCTGAGGCTGCCTCCCTGTTCACGCTGCTGTATGAGCCGGCCGGCAGGTACAGGCAGAGAGCCTGGGCTCCCACGGGCCTGCCTGCACTGCAGCCGTCCTCTCTCTGAAGCAGCAGCAAGTGTTGCGAGGTCTTTGGGGAAACCATTTCAGAAATCATCTTTTCATCTGTCTCCTTACCACCTGTTCCTCCTTCCCATCCTCAATATTCCTGACCTGTGTTCTGTTTCGCCAGCGCTATTCTCCTTCACGTCTTCATTTTCCTGCCCCTAGTTAGCCCCAGCTCCTGCACAACCTGCTCACGTGCTGATCTGAATGAAGCTAAGTCTGCAGGGGAAGGGAAACTGCAGTCTGAAACACTCACTTGTTGATTGCTGTTTTCCAGTCATGTACAAGTTTCTAGGAAGATTTTAAAGTTTTTTTGGTGTTTTTGTGTTTTGGTTTTTTAAACTGGTTTCTGAAGGAAAAATGAGTGTCATTACTCTGCCAGTTTTCCCTCAAACAAGCCTCAGGGTAACTTTTTGAGCTCGACATCTAATTTTTATCACATTTGACATAGAGATGGAAGGTGCAAAGACATGACATTTCTAAAGTTTCATAAAAATCAGTGGCTTGAAAGAGGAGAGGCGCGTCCCAGCTCACCTGTCTACTGTCAAAAGGCTGCAGTACGAGCCAGCAGTTATTTACTCTGTTTAGGTGCCACCAATCTGCTGCGGTGCCATAACACTGTCTCCTGCCCCACACTGCCCACAAGCAGCTACTGGGCATCGAAGAGGAGCCAAAAGAGATGAGGATTTTGCAGGTGGGCTGAGGCCACAGGGCACGTGAGGAGCAAAACGTATGTGTGTGGGCAGGCTGACGGGAAGAAAAGCAGATGCAGCGACACTGAGCATGAAACCACCTGAAGCCATCACTGAATCATTTGGTTTTTTTGGTGTCTCCGTGATTACAGTGAACCTCCTGCAATAAATCTGTAGCATAAATAATATACCTTCCTATACTTTAATTTCTCTTTTATTTTAGTACAAATTATGTGACATTTTGGAAAGCTAGTTATTTTCCAAATGCCGAGGGATGCAGTGGAACATAAATTCTAATGATCCTTACACCATCTCCAAGAAAAGACCTTTAGTAAACTACAAGCTGCTTCCTGGCATGCCTATCACACGCTCAGACGACGACTATGGGAAAGGATGTATCTGAGCCCAAAGGAATGAACCAGTTTGAGGAATCTGTTCTCAGCCAAGTCTCAAGATCTGAGAATAGCTAAATGCTTAAAATCATCGCCACAGCAGGGAGTCTAAACCATAGTCACAATGTTTTCATTTTTAAACAAGAGATAAGAATAACGTTTCCAACTGAGCAGGCAGCTGAAAGAGTGAATTGCAGGAAAAGATTGACAAGTTAAGAGATTTTACACAAACTCCTTGACTCATGTTTTCCAAACATGTAAGGAAAACAATGCAGTAAACACAGAAACAAAATTGTCATTTGCATCTCTGTGTCATCTGTACTCAAACATAACAGCTCCTGTCCTACAATATATCTTTAAAACTAGGATTTCGTCAAGATCAAATAGCTGGATCTTCTCCAGAACACCACTCAAGTGCTTCAAACCATCTCTTGTGCACTTCATTTACCATAATCTCCACTATGCTATGGATGTAGCATTAAACTGATAAATACAGTTTTATAACAACACAGTAGACCCAGATAATGTCATCTAAGTTGATTTGCACTTAGGTTCAAAGACCTACTATATAGAGATAATAAATATGGTACCAGACTGTCAGGCAGGAGAAGTCAGAAGAGACAGATGACCTTTTTGCAATACCTCACCCCTTTCTCTCTCAGGAACGTATAAATACAAAGTTATGAAAGCAGACACAGTCAGCCACCGCAACACTGACCAAAACAATGCTCATTTTATTAGAACATAGAACAGCTTAAAAAAAAAAAAAAGTAATCAATTGTTTAATTATACCTGTGTTTTCTGTGTCTTTGTTTCCCTGAGTGCCTGAGACAGCGTGAACAAAATTGCCAGCAGTCACATTACAGAGACAGGTTGATGGGCTGGATGACCCCGTAAGTTTTGTTCACGTCTCATGTCTGGGCTCTTGACTTGCATCTTAAAAGACTTTTGTATCAATGCCTCTGCAGGGAACCTGCTTTGCCATTCAGAAGGGTTTCTGCCAAACCCAGACAGAAGATGAATGTTTTGTCCTACCTGGCATGTCTGTAATTGCAAGCCCTACCAGGAAACAACACCCCCCACACACTTGGAGTTACTGCTTGAGACACCCTATGAGGGGAGGTGTGCACTAAAGAAACAGACAATCAACAACTTTAAAAAAAAAAAAAAAATCTCCAAAACCAGAAGAACTGTTTATTCCCTTGAAATGCAAGGACCCTTTCATGAGCACAACCCCTGCCCTCCCCCAACACACACCAGCCCAACTCTGCCTATGTCCCTCTTACTCTGGTGTCATCAGGAGTGGCATGACACAGCAGGAAAAGAGACCGGTTCACTGTGAGACCTGCTACTCACTCTCTTACAGTGTAACGGCCCCCCTTCCAGCCGCACGTCGCTACGGGGAGCTGGTCCCGACGGGCACCAGCCACATGGACCACCTTGCCGCTCCTCAGGCTCAGGGAGAGCAGAAGGTGGTGGAGCACGACTGGCCCCTTCTGCATCACTGCAAACCTGTCCACCACGTAGAGTCTTACAAACATTTGGGGAGTTTGCATGATGAAGGACAAACTGCAACGGTTGGCTTGAACATGCAACGTGACTGCTCACACCAGTTCACACAGCACTCTCTGTGCCCTGTCACGTGGAGCACGGACACTGAGGACACAGCACTGCATGCAGGACAGCAGTGGTGGAGAACATAACCTCTGCTATTCCATTGCTCGGTACCTCCAAGCAAAGGGTTTCTCAATTTGTAATTTTCACCGTATTTTCAAACAGAACAGTGACCAGCTTTCTCCTCCGTTGTTCAAATTCAAAATTAAAATGCAACCAATAGGTTTCACCAGCAAAGGTGCAGCGAGCAACTGAAGAAATGAGTAACAGATGTAAATACCTGCTTGCTGTGCAGTCTGTGGGATCTGTTGACTCCGCTGTGCATTGTACTGAACTGAGGCAATGGGTCTGTACTGCTGAGTTGTTGAGGTAGGGTACTGACCAGATGGGTAATAATACACTGGCATCTGCAGAGAAAGAGAGAACAGCAGCTAACTGCATACTCTAAAACTCAAAGATTCACGAAATAAAACAAAACTGGAAGGGGAGCAAGAGTTCAAGTCAAGCATATTAGCTGTAACAGTAATCAAAAGGAGATGTTTGCATTGCATCTCCTCAAGAACTGCTGCTTGCTTTCAGCTGTGCTAGGAAAAGGGCTATCAGTGCCCAAATTTCTTCTCAGATAATTTAAGAAACAGAAGAAAAAGAATTTTAATTGAAAGAAAAAAAAATGTACAGGATACATAAAAAGCTACATGCATATACCAAAGAAATCATAGTAAAATATCAAATGCTGCAGAAAAATGGATGCAAACAACACCTTCCATATCAACATAATACATATAGACAGCATGTTGAACCATTAAGTGAACTCTGGAGCAAACGGTCAATACGAAGCAATGAATGGCCTGGAGTAAAATTATATAGAAGTGAGAGCAAAAGATGGAGTGTGTGTGCCCTTAAGACTTGTAAGAAACTATTATTAAATTCATGCTTTTGTTTAACAGCTACATCCTTCCTTACATGAACATTTCCCTGTAAAGCCTCTCCCGCACTTGGTGTGAACACAATTACAGCTCAAAAAACAATCATAGTTGTCTTCTTGCAGGAGCTGAGGGTAGGCATTGAGTCAGCAAGTTCTGCCAGGTGGGCTTCTTTTTTCTATTATTATTGTCATTATAGAGCAACGTGTACTACATCACCTTATCACGTAGGTGAACATGGAAGTTTAAGGGTGACTGGAGCTAAGGATTTTTCCTATACATCCTATACCACCACTACTGAGACATTTAAGCTAACCAGTTTTCAACTGACCCTTGGCAAATTCAAAGCACTCACAATTTTTCCCTTTCAGCTGCAGTGGATTCTGTGGGTATGTGACGGAGTTCAGCAGCATATGGCATCATCAAACTGCAGAGGGCACAGGCTTGGGAGAACATTGCTCCTCTCGTGACTTCTGCCACATCTATCAGCATTTCTTTATAAATCATACAATAATTTTTTTTTTCTTTGTGTGTAGCATTTATCCTACTCAGACATATGCACAGAGTCATACCAAATGCCTTCCCCCTTCCCCCCCGCCATACAAAAATAAGAACTATTTTTGCCACTTTTATTTGCATGGAGGAAATGTTCCTGGAACAGCTCATTACACTTGATCATTCCATAAAGTAAAGTATTAGCAGAGTAAAGGTAACTGCATCCTTTTGTATACTGGTAGGACATCATAAGAGAGATCAGAAATTTTCCTAGAGACTATGTCAGATGAGAAAGAACAGGCATAGATACAAAAGACTAGGCAAGAAGAGGGTATGGATGGCTAATTTGGCAAGTAGAAGACTACTGAATGGGTAACTGTGGTGGGAAAAGTATCAGGATCAACATAACTGGACTCAGCAATGTTGGTGAAGTGAAACCCCCAGACCAACTAACAGTTAATATCACCTGTCAATCAAGAGATTGAATACCCATTCATTCTTCAAGGTCTATTCATTTTCTCTTCAATCAATGTAAATCACACAGCTTTTTTTTTTTTTCCTTCTCCCCACACACCGCCCAGAGATAGTATCAGCCAGATTCAAACAAATACCAGAAAGACATGAACGTTTTCATTGGAAAATGTTGTAAGCTATCCTCCCTCCAGACATTACCAAGTGACACCTAATGGCTACAGCCTGCCTTCGAGATATTTGTTTTATTAGAAGCTAAAGGAATAAAAGCAAAATGCCTTTGTAAAATGGACAAAACCATAATGAATTTGTTTCTCCGCAAAGAAAAGCCACAAAGAAAAGCCATAGGAAAGTTGACCCAGATATTTCAGGTGCAAAACCCACTCTTTAAACATCATATCAGTGTAAATAAGGGATCAGGCAAGTTAGTGTGATAAACTTCTTTCAGGGGACCTGAAAGAAGTGAGAAGACTCAGCCTACGTAAATGCAATATAGTTGATCCTGCCTTGGAGCAGGGGAACAGAGTAGACATCCTCTCGAATATTCTTTATTTTCTATTACTGTATTCTACAAATTAAAGAATATTAAACCCCTGTGGAAATACTCTCACTTCTCCTGGCTGCAGCTTAGTATCACTTAAAGGATTTAAATTTATTTGATTTCCCCTCAACTTCCTCATTTTCCTTGTGCAGACAAGCCCCTAGATATTTGAAAATACACGAGCATATGAAAACAATGTGAATTATCTCTTTTGGAAAGATTCTGTAGGTTTTAACTTTAAAACATAGCCTAAAGAGTATAGGTCTTGAAGTGAGGTTTATAGCTGAACATGCTTAGCATGAACACATATACGTACACTGAAGCATTCAGAGTAATTTGGAAACAGGTATTTATTTTTACCACACAGATACCACCTCAGAGTTAGTAACACCTTCCCTTTCTCTCTATTTTCTCAATTCATTGGAATACATTTGTTGTATACCCCATTTAGAAGCTTATCAGAATGCAATCTATCAGCCTGAAAAATGTTAGTAGTAGGAGCATTGGGTAAAAAAAAAAACATTTCATTTAGAAGGATTAATGGATGAATTTGCTAGTAATCATGCACACATGACTTGCAAAGAAGAGGTTTGGGTGTTTTGGGGTTTTTGTTGTGGTTTTTTTTGTGTGTTTTTTTTTTTTTTTAAAGAGATCAGACATTGAAAGAAGGGCTTGGTGTAAAACAGACATGGATAAAATAGGTCTTTTGTGGTTGAGGGGTTTGGAAGGATCCATTTTTATTTATCTTTTATTTATCTTGAGTACATCTCTGTGTCAGTAGTTGAAACGTTAATCATCCTTTCTGATATTACTTTAGCGAACAGTAGAATTAGAGGGATCAGAGATAAAAAGTATCACTTATATCGTCTACTCTGACCCTCTTGAATTTTTTAGTTTCTCATTACATCAGTTACTAACACCTCTGCTTATGTGCTCTTCAACAAAAAACATTAAATTTCTGTAGCAGCCTACTGACATGCCAAATTATACTCTAATTGCTTTCCCATGTGAATGCACAATTTAACCTTGGACCTTTTGCTTGTGAAACATTTTTCATTTACAGAACCAGGAAGTTTCCACTACACTAACAAGCACGCCAACACAGCTATATGGTTATCTTAAAAAAAAATTAAATACAAAATTAAAAAATATGCCCTTCTAAGACCATAACCTAAATAAATGCTGCCTTCTTTCATCTAACAGCATAGTTTCTTCATCTTAATCCTCGACAGTGTGAAAAATGCCCGCCCTCTAATAATTACTATGGAAATAGTTGACAGATGATCCTTACCCCCTTGGATATTCTTATTTAGAAGGTAAATACCCTCCTTGTTTGTAGGCTGACCATTCCAACACATCTCTATTTTTTCTCTCATATACATAATTTTCTTTATTTAACTTAAACTGTAATAGGACTAGACACATCACTTCAGAGACACTCATGAAATGGCACTAACAGGCATTACTTTCTCCTCCTTCTAATGTGCTTTTTCTCTAGATGATGGGCAGAGATTCAATACAGCATTGGCTTTCTGATTTGTTCTGTCCATGTATAGTTCGAAACCCATTACCAGATCGGATCTCCCTTGGACTGCTCTCTAACAGCATCCCTTAAATTTTACTGATTTTACTTTCCTAACCTATCTCCCTACTGACTTACAGCTTGATTCTGCCATCAGACAGGTATTCCACCTTCTCTTAACATTGCTGACAACCAGTTAGGTTTGGATTAACACCTTCATCCAGATAATTAGTGATGCTGACACTATTGCTAATGGCATCTACAGTTGCATAAATGGGAGTGCAGACAACAGAAACCAGTGATGTATGGACATACATAGGTACTGTTTCTTCCCAGTATCTAACTGATTGGGATCAGTCATTCTTCAAGGCTTTTTATCTTCCCCTTATCCCCCATCCTCCATAATAATTACAGTAAGAGTAACAGAAAATAATGGCCTGCGTACAACTACAGGCATGTGCTCCAATATCATTTTCTGAGATCATCAAGGAAAGACCCACTCACTTGCAGTGACTCCCCAGCCTTTTTCATAACAAGTTTCTTGAGGAGACATAGTATAAATAAAGATTTTGTCTCAGGGTAGCTATGGACTCTCTAGGAGGGGGCCTCTGCTAAGAGATGACTAAAATCAATGATGACATAAAATTAATTCAGGTGAAAAATCCTTCAACGTGTGTATTACTTCTCCCAGACTCTCCAAGAATTCATGCCATCTCTTTTTGGACATCGTTTTGCCAGTACAGCTTCCACGAAGAATGAGTCAGAGGTGACAATAACTTTAAAGGGAGTGTATGCTTTCCCATTGGCATAGTACTCGCAGTTTTCCTGTTTCTTCATTTGCAAAGGCAGAGTAATTACAAGCACCAATGACAGAGTGCTGCAAAAACCGAATGTGGACCCCTGTTGAAGTGCCTGGGCCCTAAGTGCTATAGAAGAACCATCAGAAAGAGAAGAGAATTGAAAATAGAAAAAAGTAGAGAAAGTAAAGATGTATGTTTGCTGTTTGTGACACAGAAAGCAAACAGGAATTTGCTGCTAAAAGTTCCTTTCAGCAAACCCAGAGTAATGGCTGGTTTTTGGTTTTGTTGTTTTTTTTTCCAATTGGCTGAACGAAGACAGATCATTATTTTCAGGTTATTAAATCATGACTCTGTTGTCAAGCTGGGGAACAGCTGCGATGAAAGAAGCAGCAAAATAAATGCAAGGGGTCCTCTCACCACTTCTTAGGCATGTCATTTCAAACTCAGTCTGCTTCTGCTTTGAAACAGACTGGAAGAAAGAATCTTGGACAGCAGCTGTAGAGTTTAACTGAAGTTTAATACAAAAGCTAGTAATTTAAATGCAGTACCTTTGGGTTTGTAAGCTTGGAGAGCATTTCTTTCTCCTCCTCTCCCAACGGAAATGATCACACTCACAGGACCTCCACCCAAGTTTTCCTTGCTCTGGTATTTTCCAACAACATACAGGGCCCCACAGCCAAACCAATAGAACCTTATCAGCAATGCATTTGCAGGAACTAATTAGCCATTAAAGTCAAGCCTCTTTTTTTACTGGTATAAATTCAATAGCAATATTTAAGGTATAAAAATGCTTTTGTATTTATTGCATTGCATTGATTAATGCATCACATAATGTTTTGCATGCATTTTTATTGCCTTTTATTTTTTTAAGCCTCAGACCGTCTGCTTTGGCATCTGAGAGCAACCTTACTATTGCATCTAAGCCCAAAAGAGTAACAGGCAATTCAGATTGCCAATAGCCACTGCCACAGAAAAGTTTTGCCAGCGGCAGGACAGGGAGTCAGGGCCTAGCTGCCCTGGGCAGAAAGCTGAGCTGTTAGGGCAGAGGAACTACTATTTCCCGAGTCTTCGCTCATCTTTCTATAAGAGGCATCCCCTATTTGCTATACACGTGCTACAAGTAGTATGCAAGCCACTGTGCCATATTCTAGGGCTGAAGGGAATGAATTAAAACTTGAATTGTCAGTCAGAAGTTCCCATCTGTGCATGCAGATGCAGAGAGCTGCTGCCCCCCTCTCCCTCCCTGCAGACCAAGGCCACTGCACACAGGCAGCAGGGACTGACCCCCCCGCGCCCTCTTCCACACAGGTATCTGGACAAGACATGGATTTTGTGGAATAGCGACAAGCTGGAGATGAATGGTGCATGCAGTGCAGTGGATGCAGAGGAAGCTGACAGCTCCGAATGTCTCGCCTTTCTACACCCCCCCGCCCCGAGGACAAACCGTTCCCCAGTGAAATAACTGAAGTTGCTGCAAACCCCAAAGATACTTTTCTGCCCTCAGTAACTTTCCACCCTGTTAGAACATAGGAGGAAAGCACCCGTACATACCGTATTTGCGGTAGGGACAGAGACACAGTGGACGTTAAACACACCAGTACGGTACTGGTCCTACAGCAGCCTATGTATGAAAAGGCACCTCCTCATCACTTGTCCTCTGAAGAAGTTCATCTGCCTCTCCAGTAGCACCAGAGTAAGTATTAATGAGGGAAAGCAGCTTCACAAAGTAACACTACGCCAGACTGAGTAAAAACCCTGCACCCTGCTGCACACGCAAGGGTGAAACCCAACGCTCCTCCGCCAGGCGATGAAGGCTCAGCCACATGCAGGCAGGAGCTGCGGGCAAACTCACAGAAGCACCCTCTGCAAAGTCAGCTGAGGGAGGGTCTAGCAGAGACCTCAGGGCAGGCTTCAAACCCGGTCTCCCCCAAGGGGGGAGAGGAGGCGGCACGGGGTCCCCCGCCACGGCAGGCAGCACGATGCTGCAGCCCCCTCAGCTCCCGCAGCAAGGCCCGGCTGGCAGGGCCGGGAAACGCATCGCTTCACCTGCTGCGGTGACAGCTTGTAAAATCGAGGTGTTCGCATTTATCTGGTTCACTAGGAGTGTTGTGAGGTTTGATTAAATGATGCTTGAAAACACTGAGGGCACTGGGGGGTTATACATGAGGAGAGAAGCCTGGACAACCTCTACTTACTCACTTAGGAGTCACGGTCTAGATGGGGAGACAGACTCATCAGGGGATTCTGCTCTTCAGGTTGTTTTTTCCTCCAAAATTTTTAAAAATGCTACATTTGGCAAACAGTGAAGCCTTTTTCTAGCAATATTTTCAATTTAAAAAAAAAAAAAAAAATCACATTATATTGAACTTCAGCTCCTTAAAAATTATTTTTTGCAAGCCTTCTCTTCTCTCAGAAAAAATGGCTGCATAGTTTCTAACTACAGGAACTACGGCTATCATAGTCCTCTATGGGATGTGAGCATCCAGTAGTCTTCAGATTTCTTTTATTGTTAATTAGTGATCTAATTAACTAGATCTCTAGCCCACTTAAAAAATTGTAACAGTATAAATTCTTCATTACTGTGGCAATACAGAATCCCATTAACAAACACAATTGGAGATTTTCAGTAAGAAGTGGCAAACAAAAAAGCCAGTAGGGTTTACACTACTTTTACGTTAAAAGAAATGGTGAAGTTTTTTTTACTTTATTTTTTATATATTTTCTTCCGAAGGATAAGATGAAAACAGGAGAAATGCTATTAATACCATTTTAAAGTAGAGTTTAAATGAAGTTATCTATAATTGGATAAAGAAATTTGGCTTTTTAAAGTGTATGCCTTGAAAATGGGCCAGAAAGTCATCTGTGCATTTTACTTCTTGACAGTAATCACTTTCAGTATTCTGTAAAGGTACCCAGGAGACAAGTAGAGATGTTTGGTAGTGAACAGTAAAACATAATCAGTCTTCAGGAAGACAGTTAAAATTACTGATCTGTGACATCTCACATGTTCAAGTCAATTAAATATGATTAACGACTACCTGGGCTGATGTGCATGTTGCTCTTTTGGTATATATACACAGGGAAAAAGGACTACAGATATTTACTCACCCTCCTCCTTCATATTCATGTGCAGATGTGTCCTGGAGTATGAACATATGTTCAGAAAATGGTTTGAGGATAGGGAAGGAATTGCTGAAACCCAGGAAACGATAGAGGCTTTGCACGTTTCCTGCTGCCTAAAAATCTGCTAAGCTTTTACCGGGGAGCGGGGGGGACACACAATCTAGAATCTGGATTTTTTTTTATATTCTCTTTGTCATGTTATAATAAGCATCAAGCCAAACTGGTAGTGAACGTTTTGCCTACCTGAGCAGGTGGCGGTGGTTGTTGCACAAAGCCCTGGGGTGGTGGCGGCGGCTGCAGCACTTGCTGGGATACTGGTGGACCTGAACCTGTAAAGCCTCCTGGGGGAAGCTGCTGGCTTGGGGAAGCCATAATGTAACCCGTCTGCTGGGCAGGCTGCTGCAAGATAGGCGATGGGTAGACAGGACCAGAAGGTGATTCGGGGTTGTCTCCTGATGATTGACGACTTAAGCTCATCTGATTAAACTGTGTTGTCATGTCATCTCGCTGCAGGGCAAAAGGCAGTAGAAAATGATGTAGACATGATGTCTGCAGTAGACACACAAATTAGCAAAACAAAATAGGTTCAAACAGAGCATGAGGGGGGAAAGGAATCACTCAGCTCAAATACGTGCCAAACTTTGCATTGATATCTACAAAAATGGAGGCAATTAAAATGAAAATCACTATAAATGCTTTGACAAAGACTTCCACCCTGCAAGGTGAATGGCATCACTTGGCACAAAAGCCAATTATTTTGGCTTTTACCCTGGCGCCCCCCCCCCGCTTTTATTCCAGTATGACAAGTGAACTTTACAGTGTTCAAAAGAAGACATTTTAAATATAAAGGGCAGGAAAATAACATTATGAATACCTCTTCCCCCAAACACAGAATTCCTCAGCCAAACACATGTGGTAATTTCACCTGTGCTTCAAAATGATCCCAAGAGGAATTCAGTAGGATTTAGGTGCAGACCTTTTCTTTTTGGACTGTTTTGAAAATCCAAGGTTGTAAATATAGAGAAGGTAAAAAAAGCTAAGCCTTCAGTTATTATTTCAAGGCTTTTTATTCAGTGTTGGAAAGAAACAAGTACTTTATTTGACTGGAGGGGCGGGGAGGGGAATAAATCTATGGTAGGATGAACGTACCAAATAAAGTCAATGGACCTAAGCCTCATTACATGCTGGTAACGATACAAGGATTCTAGACAGTATCTGTTCAGTCTCGCAAAAAGATCCATATTAATCAACGCTCTCAAGTTTATTCTGTGAAGGTCGAAAATTTACAAATGCGGTTCTAGGCATCTTCATTGGTGCCCATATCATAAGATTTTTAAATACTCAACATTAAAATGTACTCTATACGGCAATAAATCTAGCATAAAACTCCACCGTGTGCTAATATGCAGATTACGGTCCCTTCCTTATACCCCCTCACGGATAGGGAATAAGCACTATAAAAACGCTTTTCACTTAGAACATCCATGCTATTTTTCAAAAGGAGCCTCTTTGATTTTGTTCGCATCCCTGTGGTGTTCATTCACCAAAACCATCCTGCCCATTGTATTTATTGGCAGGAAACTTCAAAATAAAAAAAAAAAAAAAACAAACAACAAACACGTTTGTTTGTGGAAGGCACTGCCAGAGACTGCAGAGACTCACCCTCCCACTCAGAGATTAGATATCATGGGCCAACATTTTAAACATTCCTGGCAGATCTTCAGGTGGTAAGAAAGTAATGCTATTAACTTTACCATCATCCTACATCCATATTCAGGCATATAAGCTGTCTGTCTGAAGTTGTTTCTTTAAAAAGCTAGGATATTCGTTACCTGGATGGCGAATGACTGCAAACAGATTCTACGAGAAACTTCATTGAGCCCTGGAATGTCTCTGGATTTGCACAATAGAGACCAAGACCTTCAAAACCCTATAATTTATACATTGTGTGTATAATGTAATGTACATTGAAGACATTAATTCAGGTGAAGTTTCACTGTTAAATTAGCCACTAAAAATATCAGCCTTCCTATGACTATCACTAGAACAACCTGAGATGCCTGCAAGACTCTTTTCAAGAGAATTGGCACTGAGATATGCAACTTCTGTTCAGCACGGAACTTTTTTTATTGTCCTTTAAATGGTACCGCTCATCTACCAGGCATTAATAACATTATTTTAGCTGCAAGGATCCGTTCAGCTTTGTTTCCATCTCTTACTATAACTATACTCTACCTTGGCGGGGG